CTGCTCTGTGGTGTTTGCTCTCAGCTTTCTTTTTTTCTCTTCTCCAGACATACTAGCTTCATAGACAGCCCTCAAAAAGATGGAGACAATCTTTATCTCAGGGCCTCTGAACTGGCTGTCTCCTTACCTGGAATCTCTTCCCAATCTACTCTCAAAGCTCAGCTGTCATTTCAAACAGGCTTATGCCCAGGGATCCTCTCAAAAGAGGAGCCAGGCAGAGCTATTGACCTGCCCTGATAAGGGACCTCCCTCTCTTCCCTCTCCAATCTTAGGTGGGCAGAGGCATTTAAGTTCTCTTCCCCATGCCTTTCCCCTCTCAAGGTGATGAACAGAAGGAGGCAGACTGAAGGAGTTGCATCTTATCTTCACCTTGAAGCTGACTTTGTATGTCCACAAAGAACCCAAAGCAAAAAGCAGGAGAGAGAAGGCAGAAGTTAGTTCATTAGCCACTAGACCCTCAAAAGACAGAAAACATCCTGACTGTGGAACACCTACTGGGTGCTCAATCTTCACACCCCTGTGTAGGAGTTATTAATCTTACCTCCATTTTACAGACAAGAACACTGAGGATTCTAGACGTTAAGAAACTGGACCCAAAGCACCCACGGAGGGGCTGCGCAGGACTCAAATGCAAGTCAGCTCAAACAATCCTTCTATTTTAGGGAAAGGGGACAACTTGGGGGAAGCAGGAGGGTATTAAAGCAACTGGCTAACCATGAAAAAGAATGACAGAACATTTTTCCAAACAAATCATTGCTTTGTTTAGAAAGTCACATGGAGACAGTGGGAGACAGAAGTGAAGACTCATCTTTCATCCCCAGGAGCTATTTGCCTGTGGATATTCAATTGTTCTAGCACCATTGGTTGAAAAGACTTCTCTTCCTTCACTGAGCTGCCTTGACACGTTTGTCAAGAATCTGTCAACCACACATCTGTGGGTCTATTTCTGGACTCTATTCTGTTCCACTGATCTGTTTGCCAGTCTTGATGCCAACACCACACTGTTTTGATGAAAGTAGCTTTGTATTAAGTTTTTGAAACTGAGAACTGAGAGTCCTCCGACTCCATTTTCCTTTTTCAAAGTTGTTTTGCCTAGTCTGGGTTCTTTCTATTTGCATATGAATTTCAGAATCAGATCATCAATGTCTACAAAACAGCTTGCTGAGATTTTGATTGTGTTGAGTCTATAGATCAATATGGAGAGAGCTGACGTTTTAACATTTAGTCTTCAGATCCCATGAACATGGTAGAGCTTTCATTTACGTAGAGATTCTTCGATTTCTCTCAACAATGTTTTGAAGTTTTCATTCAACTGGTTTTGCATATCTTGTATCAGAGTTACCCTAAGTAGTTTGTGTTTTTTTATGCTAATGTAAATTGTATTTTAAATTTCAATGTTCTGTTATTTTTTTTTAATTTTACTTTAAGTTTTGGGATACATGTGCAGAACGTGCAGGTTTGTTACATAGCTATACACATGCCATGGTGGTTTACCACACCTATCAACCCATCATCTAAGTGTTAAGCCCCACATGCATTAGGTATTTGTCCTAATGTTCTCCTTCACCTTGCCCCCCACCCCCTGGCAGGCCCAGGTGTGTGATGTTCCCCTCCCTGTGTCCACGTGTTCTCACTGTTCAATTCCCACTTATGAGTGAGAAGATGTAGTGTTTGGTTTTTTGTCCTGTTATTACCAGCATACAGAAATACAGTCCATTTTTGAATATTGAGCTTAGATCCTGCAACCAGGCTAAACTCACTTATTAGTTCTAGTAGCATTTTTGTGTAGATTTCATAGGACTTTCTATTTAGATGATGCCATCTGCAAACAATTTTCTGCAGGGCTGTGTTCAAGGAGTCTGCATTCTAATAAACTCCATCCTCAGGCTGCTGGAGGAAAATAAAGGGGTAATCCAATATGAGGAGGGTCAGGTCCTGCCGGTTATCCTTGGGGCAGCAGACCCATAGATCTAGGTGTTTCACTGAGGCTAATGTTAAAATGGGTCACTATTCTGTAAGTCCTGGTGGACGTCTTCAGCACAAACCACTGGATCATCTATACTCACCAAGGTTAAGGAATCCAGAAGAGGGCTGAGTGAAGGCAAAATATCCAGCTGTGGGTTAGAGAGATGCCCCCAAGTCCCTTCTACAAAGCACCATTTTCTCACTCTGACCTCCAAAAAGCCTCCTTCCTGGTCTCTAGGCTTCCCATCTTGCCCCCTCCAATCCCATCTCCATTCATCTGGGTTATATAAAAATATAAAGCAGACCATGCTAGGCCTTGCCCTTAGAATAAAACCCCCAAACTCCTCACCAGGACTGAGTAGCCCTCTTGCACGCTTTCCTCTCCCGCCACCCCACCCCACCTGCCAAGCCCTTTCCAAGCTGTTCTCCCTAATGGAAACATTTTCCAATGCCCCCCACTCCCCTCTCCTCCCTGCCACCTGGTACCTGGCTAGCTTCTCCTTGTCACTGCTTCCAAAGACCTTCCTGACCATCGCAGCTAACGTTCACTCTCAGGACATCCCAGTATGATCCTGCCTCGTACTCACCATATTCCTCATTAATGTTCCACTAAGGCAGTGCTGTGAGAACCAGGCCCAGTGACATTTGTGACCTTGATCCCTTACCAATGGCTCCTAAGCAGTAGGCGCTCAGTAGATGCTTTGCATGATAGCCTGAGCTTGCCACATGCCCAACCATTCACCCTCCATGTGAATGATCTTACAATATGTCTTGGGTTTTTCTTCCATTAGGGGGTAGTTCAAACCTTGGCTGTGGGTTAAATCTCCCCAGGGAATTCGCCCCAGACAAGCCATCAGGTGAGCTACATAAGGAACCTGTCTTGGAACTCCCCCAACTCAGCCTCCCCGTAGGATTTCATCTTGCTCCTGAGCTCACTCCATTCCAATGGAACAGGAAGGCGAAAGAAAACCAGACCAGAGTGGAAAGGATTTTCAAACTTTATTTACAACTGTCACAGTGACAAAAAGTAGTTTGGAAAAAAAAAATGCTAGTTTCTCCCTGAGCCTCAAAAAAGAACAGATAGAAGTTACAGGAGGTTCATCTCACAACAGGCATTTTTACTGAAATACTAGGAATTTTTTCAATACAATCAGTTAGAAATACACACAAATTACTTAAAAAAAAAAAAAAAAAAAAAAAAAAAAAAAAAAAAAAAAAGGAGGCCAGATAGGAGCTCAGCCACTTGTCCAAGAGCAGCTGGGTCCCCCCAGCAGACTCCACCACTGAGGGTCCTGACGTTAGCGGTCAGCCCCTGGCCTGCTCAGACTGCAAACGGTCATACAAAGTGGTCTAGGGACCGGCAAAAGTAATAAACCACCCCCCAAAACAGACACATACACAAAGTAGATTTGTTACGCAGTTTACAAGCACGTTCCCATCACACAGCAAGACCGGGACAGGTGATTCAGGGTAGCAGATGAGGGAAGACACCGAAACACAAGAATTGAAAAGGCAAGACCCCCGTCCACAAAGGGAGGTGAGGGAATGAGATTATGGATGAACCACTCTCTGCAGCCAAAACAGAACGAAGCGGGGAGCAAGAGAGAGAAAGCCCCTCTCGCTGTAGGCTGCAGGCCTCTCCCACTTCTGTGAGGAGTTGGAAGAAGTTATTGCCATCGATGTGTGTCACACAGGCAGACGACAGAGGGAGGAAGCAGGGGGTGCGGGCGACCATCGGCTTCCCAGAACGGAATTCCGCAGACTGCTGCGTCCACAGCACATCCTCGCCCTTCTGCCCTGGCATCCCCAGAGCCACAATGACCTTGAGGTATTAAATACAGCTATATACACAAGTCCAGAACCGAGGGTCAGTCTAGACTGACTGGAGACCTGAGGGGACATGCTGCGTGCCTTGGTTGGCCAAGTTCAGCTCAAGGAAGGCTCTCAGTCCACCTCTGGGCCACACAGTACTGCTCTCGGAAGCATTTGTCCTTCGACCTCCTGCTCCAGATGGCTCTTAGCTACGATAAGAAACGCAAAGTCCAAAGGCCAACTTTCTCATACAACTGGTGCCCTTGCAGGAAGCATGTGGGCGGTGGGGAGGGATAAGGACCACCACTGAGTAAGGACAGCAGAGGTCCCTTGCTATGCCTCCCTTCCGCTCTTGCCCCAGAACAACATAGGGAGAAGCCAGGGATCTCACGACATCCTTTAGTCTCAAACTTGAGCCCAAGGCTGCCACAAGAGCCTTGTCCCCACCATGCAATAATTCCCAAGAAACATTGCGAATTATTTTTGGCATGGGTGTGCCAGCTCTTGGGACCTTAGTGACCGCTCACCTCCCCAACAAGACACAGAAAAAGCCACGTCTGCTCTCCACTAGGCACCCACAAGAAAAACAGACCAAGAGCTCCCATGGGCATAGGTACGGCAGCTGGGCAGCCTGGCGGAAATCCACAGCTGAGCGGGGGACCTATGTGTCCATGGCTGCTGTGGCTGGGGCAGAGAAGGTGGCGGTGAGGAGGAGGAAGGGCCAGCCAGAGAGAGCGCACCCACTCCGTCTTGGGAGGGCAGCAGTTGAGGGAGAGACCTTCATGCCAAGTGTCCACCCTGGGGCATCCAACAAGGGCAAGAAGTGCTCTCACTACTCCTAGAAGTACTGGGAAGCAACATGGCTAAATCAGGGAGAAAAGCTGAAAAGCACTGCCTCTTAGAAACCGATCACCTTGGCTTTGTGAGCCTACCACAGCTGGGAGAAGAGAGGCCATGGAGAAGGGTGGGGTGACCTTTCCTTCCTGCACATCACCTCCAGCTGGCTTTGCAACAGCCAATTGCTCCTGCTCTCCTTTCCTCTCCTCCCTGTCATAGACCAACACACCTGAAATGAAAGCAAAGGGTGGGCTGGGTGAAACCGGAGAGAGAGATGAGGACTTTGTTTTCTGATGCCCTGGCAGCCAGAGTGAATGTTTGCTGAGCGCATCCTGGCTGCAGTTCTCTGCTCAATGTTTTCTTAAAAATGTGTTTTTTTCTTTGACCACGTTTGTTTTCTTACCCCAAATGTTCCTTGCTTGCTTTGCACATGCCCCACCTCCCACCCCCCGAGACCCACTGGAATCCCACCACTGCCTCTAACTGGGCTGCCTGAGTTCAGATAATGATCTCAAAAACAGCACTCGCTCCCCCCCAAGCCCAACCCCCTGGCTCTAAGCTGCTTCCTTTCTAGAAGGCCTTGCAAATTGTCAGAGGGCTCCACTGCTCGGCAGATTTCAAAATAAAAGATAAGACAAGAAAAGAAAACCAACTCGGTGATTTGCAGGTGCAAAACGGAAGCCTCGTTTGACATGTTCAGAACGACTGTGGCTCACTCTCTTCTTCCACCGTGATGGGAAAAACAGTTCAGGAACAGATGCTGGCTGGTATGACCCATGGGAGCCCACAGGGACTCTACTGCTCTTTATTCTCTTTCGCTGTCTCTTCGCAGTTGTCTTGCTCATCCTCCTGGACCAAGAACTCCTCCGGGGGCCACCGGAGCTCCCCGCTCTCCACCTCCCCTTCCGTGGGCTCCACCACTATGGAAGGCAGGCGGTCCTTCAGTTTGCAGCAGCGGTCAAAGTCTGATGGGTCTGGAAAGATCTGAAAGAAAAGCAGAGCAGGTGCCTGGTCATGTACATATTGAAAAGAGAAATTCCATTCCTTCTTTGCACATCCGTGTGGCATACTGGGTGTGTGCCATAGGCCAGGGACTACGCTTTGCACTTGGGAGGCTGTGGAGCCGAAGATGGGAGCCACAGGAGAAAATTCTGGGGCAACATAGGAAACTGTCTCTCAGTCAGGCTTTGATTCTAATCCTGGAGCTGAAGGTTTTGGGACAGTGCCGCCGAGTCTAAAGGCCGATGACTGTATTTCATTTTCAGATAAAATAATCCCAAATCATGTTATCCACAGGAAGTCTGATCTTTCTCTGCAGCAAGTAATTTGCGCCAGAATACAACAGGTGCCACAGCATTAAGTACCTCTTGGAATTATTATCGGCATTAAGTGAGCAGGCTGCCAGGTGCTATACATACCTAACTTCCAACCTACACAGTCATGCAAAAAATAGGTGTTGCTAATGCTAGCCCAAAGAATCTCAGGCTTGGGAGAGTAGGTGGTCCAAGGCCAGACAGCCTAGAAACGGGTGAGGGATGGGATGGGATTAAAAACAGGGTCTGTTCAATTCCCTTGCCCCAACGCCAGCCTGTCCCTCAAGTAGATGGTCCTGAGCCCATTGCAACTGTAAAGTCAAAGCCAAATCCTGATGAAAAGCATGGACCCCGTCACAGGCAGGCTGGGAACAAAATCCAAGGACCCCTTCTTTGTCACCTGCGACCTGGCTTCCTACCAGCTCTACCCCTGAAGGCGTCTACTTCTCCTACCAGAGTCCTAGCAACCAGGCTTTGTTTTTTTAATGCCTACTCTGTGTCCTGACCTGAGCTGGCAGAAACCCCAAACCCGGCTATAAAATCAAGGACCAAATCTGGCTCTGTGGATTCCCTTTGCACACATTGCCCTGTGACTACAGCTGACCCAATTCTTTGCCCAGCAGCTTAAGTACTTAATCCGCTGGGCTGCTGGTCCCTGCCGTTCACAGCCCTCAGTGACACACCCCAGAGCCGGAGAGAGGAGGCTCTGTCTGGGATGCTGGGCTCACAGAATCAGGCACTTGGCACCTTCACCGCCATCTCTTCTCACCTCTCCATTTGGTAGATGAGTAAACCAAGGGCCCAGAGGGGTCAGGAGAGCCGCTCGAGGTCACACAGCTTGTTCATGACACAAAAAAGGAAAGCAAAACCTTGAGTGGGTAGGGACATATTTGAAGAGATCTGGGGGGCTGCCTGCTTCTTGATCCAGATGGAAACAGGCCCATGGCAGCAGACAGAAATCTTCCATGACCAGGACATAGAAGGCTCTTTTGCAAACTCAGGCCTCCCCAGCTTCTGTGGTGCTCTGAGGGTGCCGGGTCTTACTGCCACCCAAGCCCAAGCAGTGCCCCAGCCAAGTCACACTCTCACCACATCACAGGCCACGTGGGGCTTCCAGGAATCACAGGCCTCAATGAAGCCTCCCCAATCCCTGCAGACGAGTGATTATTAACCATTTATCCAATAAAGGCCTATTGCTGGGGATTAAGCCTTAAGCCAGCTGCACAACCAGGCATCATTAAAGACTTAACGAGGCTCATAAAAGGTATCATAATGGCAGCCAGGAGGAAAACAAGCATAGGGAGGGGCTGGGCCAGTGGGGGTCACGGAGGCGCGGGGACATGGATCTCGACTCCGGGCTGTGTCCTCCTGACCAGGCCAGCCCGGAAGTCCTGCCCTCGGACTGTGCTGTGCCCGGACGTGCGTGTGCCGAGCGAGGCATGGCCAATTGGGCTTTTTAGACACTTCCTCATTTCTTGGGTGGAGCCAGAGCCCCCCATGGGCTGTGGGGACACAAGGCGCCCTCCAAGCATGAGCTTTCAGACCCCTCCATCGGAATCCCTCTCACCCACTCCCACACTACAGGTCACAAAGCTCTTTCAGATGTCGCCTTGTTCAGGGCTCACTGCCACCCCAGGAACAGTTAAGACCCGGGACTCTGCGGGGCACATGGCAGGGCCAGGATTCAAACCTATATCTGCTGTTTTCAGTGCCCGTGCCTTCTGGAAAATGGATTAGGCTGCTGCTGGGTCTCCATCCCGTTTCACAGATGGAAAACTGAGCAGGGAGGGAGAGCCAAACTCTGGGCCTTGACTGCCCAGGAGCTGTGGGGGCCCCAGTCCAGGAAGTGAGCTTCCCGGTTTTGATGCTTGTTCTAAACCTTCAGGATCCAAGACAGAGCTTCGAGCTGTCAAGAGGAGAGGGGCACCTGCCCCGTGCAGAGCCTGGCCTTGCCTACACCCTCTGACCTCACTGCCGGGATTATGCTGACCTGTGTCAGGACCACATCGCCTGGGCTGGGAGAGGGAAAATCCAATTCTAACCATGACGACCTAAGCCAAGGAAAAGCAAAAGGGATGAGAAGCAGGGCAGGACCAGCAGAAGGAGGAGGGGGAGGAGGCGGGGGAGGAGGAGGCGGGGGAGGAGGAGGGGGAGGAAGAGAGAAGGAAGAGAAAGAGGAAGAAAAGGGGGAGAGGGGTGAGAAGCATTAGATTTCATTTCAAGCTGGGAACAGGTCTTTCATTAAAATAAGGAGAAAAAAAAATAACGATGATGATGATGGATGAAATTTTTTGCTGAGCAGAATCTCAAACCTAGCGCTAATTCGAGTTCCCCTCATCCAGTTTTTATTTTCTTGGTTTCAGTTACCCACAGTCAACCGCAGTCCCAGGGTAGGTAGGTAGGTACAGGACAGTAAGATATTGTGAGAGGGAGACAGAGAGAGACCACATTCACATGGCTTTGGTTGTGGTATGCAGTTATAATTGCTCTATTTTATTGTTAGCTGTCCTCGTTAATCTCACATTGAGTCTAATGTATAAATTAACTTTGATCACAGGTATGGATATAAAAGATAAAACATAGCATATGTAGGTTTGGAATTATCTGTGGTTTCAGGCATCCACTGTGGGTCTTGGAACGTATCCCTCAGAGATAACGGGGACTACTGTAACCCTGTTTTATGGATGAGAAACCTGAAGCACAGAGGGTAAATGGCTTGTTCAAAGCCACATACCTGGGAAGCGGCTGAACTGGGATCCAAACCCAGATCTACAGGACTTCAAATGCCATGGGTTAAGCCACACAACCACCACTGCAAAGCTCCGGTCAAGTCCTCTCAATCCCAGATGCCTCAGTTTCTCCTATTGAGAAGCGAGTGACCTTCTTGTCTCACTAGATGGGTACAAGTTCTTGGCAAACATAAAGATGATAAAATACTTCGAGAAAATAAGTGAAATTCAATCTATAATGTCCTCTTTGAAGCGGTTTCAACAGAATTACGGTAGGCATCCAATCTCCAAGCAAGAGCCAGTCACGCAAACACAGTAATTAAAATAATTCCAAACAGCGCCGTTTGTACTGAGAGCTGCACAATTAAGTCTTTTAAGTCCTTAGAAGAAGTCTGAGAATTGAACTTCTGATAGTGCTTAGCTGCCAGAGAACTTTACTCCCTGAATTGCTCCAAGCAAGCACCGCTTAAAAAAAAAAAAAAAAAAAAAAAAAATTCTTTTTACAAAGCCTGTTTTAATAATTGTATTTTTAAAAATTACTATAATAATCAAACCCTTCCATCAGAGATCTTATTTTATTATCAGATTATACCCATTTGGGCCTCAAAATTGTCGCTCTCTCCAAACACAAAAAGTACCCAGAACCAACAGCTTCTGGTTTCCTCACAGACAGACAGAAAGCCTTGCAAAGTGCTGCTGAGTAATTTGCCAGCACAATCTTATCTCTGACAGCTGCTTCGGAGGCTGACCCCAAGGAGGTCAACATTTTTCCACTAAGTCATGCTTTTTAATCATCTAGGCAGCAGAAAAATGAGAGGTTGCAACTGCAATTTGATGGGGTGGGGGAGGCAGTGGGAAAAAGGACTTGAGTCAGACTTGCCAAGCACGTGACAGGTAGGGTTGAGGCAGCAGGCCAGCCCGGCGTGCTGTCTGCCTGCAGGAACTGGCAGGGAGCAAAGAACTGCCCCTGTTCCCGAAAGGAACTGCTTCTAGTTAAATCTCTTACCCCAGAGTGCTACTTCTCTCTGTACTACAGAAAGGGAAATACAAACAAAAATCATTTTCCCTTCTCTTTGTGGCTCTCAGAGGCATTTCTCATCCTCAGCCCAGGGTAGGGCAGGTTTAGAAGCATCTACCCCAAGCTGTGATTCTCCCAGCCCTACACCTTCCTCCCTCTTCCAGCCCTGGACTCCACATCCAGCTGCCACATTGGACTGCCAAAGCTGACGGCTGAAATGAATCGAATGGATACCAAGTGTATTAGTCCATTCTCACACTGCTACGAAGAAATCCCTAGGACTGGGTATTTTTATAAGGGAAAAAGGTTTCATTCACTCACAGTTCCACATGGCTAGGAAGGCCTCAGGAAACTTACAATCATGGCAGAAGGGGAAGCAAACACATCCTTCTTCACAAGGTGGCAGGAGAAAAAAGTGGTGAAGTTATAAAATCCATCAGATCTCATGAGATCTTACTATCATGAGAACAGCATGGGGGTAACTGCCTCCCATGATTCAATTACCTCCTGCCAGGTCTCTCCCATGACACGAGGGGATTATGGGAACTACAATTCAAGATGAGACTTGGGTGGGGACACAGCCAAACCATGTCATCAAGTTCCATCCTTTGCAAATGGAATGAAGCCTTGATGTTCACACACACCGTGAACCTCCGAGGTCTTGCATGCCCCACAGTATAGAAGAGTAAGCACCATTCCTTGTCTCCACAAGCTCACCCTCAGGCCCAGGATTCTCTGCACCAACAGCCGCTGCTGTTGGTGGGTCAAAGAAACGCCCTGGGCTTCCCTGGAACCTCCTGCTGCCTTTGTCATCCTCATACTAAATCAAAGGCAGACACTCACCAGACAGGGCCATTTAAAGTTACATTAAATTGATGTTTATATTGTATCACATATAAATTTGTATTAATAAAAATAAAACAA